CACCAGGCTGTCCTGTTCATCACAAACTCCCGGAGCTTGCTCAAACTCATATCCATCAAGTCAGTGATGCCATCCACCCATCTCATCCTCTGTCGTGCCCTTCTCCTCCTGCCTTCAATCTTTCCCAGCATCAGGGTCTTTTCCAATGAGCTGGTTCTTCGCATCAGGTAGCCAAAATATAGCAGCAGCTTTTTAGCATTAAAATGAAGCAAATACATTCCAAAGACTTATGAAACATCAAACTATGGGTCCATAACTCCCAGAAATTTAAGAAATACAGACTCTAAAATAATAGATTTTAGAAAACAGAATCTAAAATAATAAGTCACTCTGTGTTACAAAGACAAATTAGCATAGAAGATATGACTATATGGTAAATGATTTATTTTTTTATCAACATTGAGAGTTTCCACCTTCAAAGAAACCACCTGGGTGGGTTATAGGTCTATTCCAGGAAAGACTTTAGCAAAGATATAGTTTGGTTTAATTGCAAGTATTGTAGATCAACTCTGCAAGCAGCTCATAAAGAAAGAAGACTAATATTTTGAGCTGTGACCCCCCCACTGGACTAAATTCCTGACCTAAATTCCTGACCATTTTGCAATAGAGAGCTCACCATAGGGATCTTTAATTCCTGACCCAAAGGAGAGCAAAAATTACAGACGCCTAACAGTAAACACTCCATTTCCCTAGTTCACAGTACCACAGTCCATAGAGTTATAGTAAAACATTTTATTCTTCAACAAAATTTAAATATTTGATACCAGAATGAGGCCATGGTTGGATTCCTGAGGAAGCATCTGCAGCCTGCCTTGTGAAATGCCAAGAGAAGCAGAGAGAGGCCAGTGCCCTGGCACCATCACACAGGTCCTTTCTCCCATAGAATGAATGCATTTCAAAATCATCTCCCCCAGACCATAGTTGTTTCATTAGATGACTGTCTGTTCTTGAAAACACAGAGGCTCAAAGGACAGCCACCTTAGTCTCTTGGCCGGCTGAGGATTCGTTAACAATCAAAGCTTGTGCCATTGAAATTCTGATGTTATTTTTAACATCCTGCACTCCTTTACCTGTGGTTCTCAGTAAAACCATTATCCAGAAAGTTGTTAGCAGTTGATTTGATTTTTTTCAAAAAGTGGCTTCTGGAGCATCAGGTGTTCCTGGTCTTTGCTCTCCTGCGGGTCAGGAACAAATCCCCTCTTACTGCTCCTCTTGTATCCGGTTTCTATCTGATGGCTGAAGCTATTCTCCTTCTCAGCTTCTCTGCTCCAGGCATGCTGCTCTTTGAAAGAAAGAAAAGTATTCCAGTGTATCGTGTCTACCTAAAGTGTGATGATCCTGTTGTTAATATAAAATGGTATATATTCTGGTGAAGAGTCTTTTTACTTCAAAGCTCTTTCTACTACATTATTTTATTTCCATCTCCCTGAAAGCATAAGAATCTGTTTTTCATATAATTGGGAATAGCTTAATGTTCTTAGGGAAGAGTTTTACCTGGTTATAAAGTTTGTGCACTTTTATTTAGGTAATTGGGGGATATCAGTGGCTTTGTCATTGGTGACAACCTTGCTGAGATTAAGAAAGAAGTCTCTGGGTTTGTCATCTATGGCCTTTATTATACTGAGATATATTCTTTCTATGCCCACTTTCTAGAGAGTCCTACTATAAAGAGATATTGAATTTTGTCAAAAGGTTTGCTGGCATCTATTGAGAAGATCATATGGTTTTTATTCATTAATTTGTTAATATATTGTATCACACTGATTGATTTACAGGTATTGAAAAGTCTTTGCATCCCTCAGATAAATCCCACTTGATCATGGTGAATGATTCTTTCAATGTATTGTAGGATTTGGTTTGCTAGTATTTTGTTGAGAATTTTTGTGTCTGTTTTCCTCAGTGACATTGATCTGGAGCATGTATCTAGAGAAAACCATACTTCAAAAATATACATGCACCCCAATGTTCATTGCAGTACTATTTACAGTAGCAAAGACATGTAAGCAACCTAAATGTCCATCAATAGATGAATGGATAAAGAAGATGTGGTATGTATATACAAGGGAATATCACTCAACTATAAAAAAGGATGAAATAATGCCAGTTGCAGCAACATGAATTAATCTAGATATTATCATACTAAGTGAAGTAAGTCAGAGGACATATCACATGATATCACTTATATCTGGAGTCAAAAAAAAATGATACAAGTGAACTTATTGACAAAGTAGAAACAGACTCACCAGACTTAGAAAAGAAACTTATGGTTACCAAGGAGAAAGATGGGGGGGGGGGTGGAGCAGATAAATTAGAAGGTTGAGGTTAACATATATACACACACTTACCCATAAAATATATAATTGATAAGGACTTGTATAACAAAGGGAATGCTATGCAAAACTATGTAACAGACTATACGTGAAAAGAATCTGAAAAAGAATAGATATATGTATTTATGTAACTAAATCACTTCCCTGTATACCTTAAACTGACACATAGTAAATCAGCTATGAAAAGTGAAAGTTTTAGCCGATCGGTCCTGTCAGACTCTTTGCGACCCCATGGACTATAGCCCTCCAGGCTCCTCTGTCCATGGGATTCTCCAGGCAAGAATGTTGGAGTGAGTTGCCATTTCCTTCTCAGGGATCTTTCCATCCCAGGGATCAAACACAGGTCTCCCGCATTGCAGGCAGATTCTTTACTGTCTGAGCCACTCCAATATGAAATTGAAAGAAATAAAAAATAAGTTTTAAAAAAAATACCAATGAATTCTATCACTGATGGATCAGTTCAGTTCAGAAAAACAGAAACAGAAAATCAGTTCAAAACAGAAAGAGACTCACAAACATAGAAAACAAATTTATGGCTACCAAAGGAGAAAGGGTGGGGAGGGATAAATTAGGAGTTTGAGATTAACATATTCATGCTATTAGATAAACAACAAGGACCTACTGTATGTCACAGAGAGCTATACTCAGTATTTTAAAATAGCCCATAAGGAAAAAGAATATATATATACATGTATTCATTACATATATAATGCTGAGATTAAGAAGGAAGTCCCTAGGTTTGTCATCTATGGCCTTTATTATATTAAGGTGTATTCTTTCTATGCCCACTTTCTGGAGAGTCTTGCTATAAAGAGAAGTAAGGCTTTATTCTTACTTACAACTGGGCTTCCCAGGTGGCACTAGTGATAAAGAATCTGCCTGCCAATTCAGGAGACATCAGAGGCAGGTTTGATCCCTGAGTTTGGAAGATTCCCTGGAGGAGGGCATGGCAACCCACTCCAGTACTCTTGACTGGAGAAACCCATGGACAGAGGAGCCTGGCGGGCTACAGTTCACAGGGTCGCAGAGTATCGGGCAGGATTGAAGTGACTTAGCACAGCACATTACTAAATCACTGGGATGTACACCTGAAATTAACAGGACATAGTAACTCAGTTATACTTCAATAAAATAAAATACAGGAAGGCCCTGGAGAGGAAGAAATTAGATGAATAAAAGATGTTTCCAATGACTAGGGATCTATTGTGGTTACCAGGGCTGGAGGGCTGGGGAAACAGGGAGATGCTGATCAAGGATTACAAACTTCCAGCTATAAAATGAATAAGTTCTAGGAACACAATGCACAGCATTTGGGCTATAATTAATAAAACTGTATCACATACTTGAAAGTTGCAAAGAGAATAGATTTTTAATGTTTCCGCCACACACACGAAAGTGGTAATTATGTGAGGTTATAGAGGTATTAATGTGGTATTACTACAACTCCATTGTGGTAATCATTTCATTTCATTTCACAGTACATTCATACATCAAATCATCACACTGTACACTTAAAACCTAAGTAATATTTTTTGTCAACTATATCTCAATCAGAGAAGAAGAGAAAAATGCAAATTTTCATTTCTCACATTTTATCTATTGAAAACTCCAGAAGGGGAGCTAGGAAATAGGTGTTTCATCAAGCCCACAAGGTTATTCTAAAGACATTCAAGTTCAAGGACTATTGCCCTACAGAAATGTTCCCTGTGCCCAGACCTAATATGCCTTCTCCTCCTGTCACCTCTTGAGCTTAGGGCAGGCTGACCTAACTTCTCTTAACCTCCTGTTTCTGAATTTCTGCTTCTCTGTTCATTTGTGGTCATCTGAATTCTAGATTTCTGTCCATTGATAAAAAGTGTGTGCTTTGTCAGACTCAGGTTGCTTCCCACTGTATATCTAAGTTTTATTAAGACTGGATGACACCATTGTTAACAGTATACAAGCCACATCCTCACAAGTAAGAACACTGCTGCCCGCCTCCTACTATATCATGACTAATATCTGGGTAGAAACATCCCTCAATGCAAAGCTGACCTCACAGCAATTTGTGTCTTTCCATGCCTCTAAGCAAAGGAACCCAAGAAGATGGATATTTAAGAAGTACAAGGGTAGGCAAAGACTTTTGCTTATTGCAACTTTAATCACTCCTATTCCCTCCCAAAGAATCCTTAGCAATTGAGAACCAACTTCAGAAATAAATCATAGCATTTTCCAGGTAAAATCAATACTGAGAGACTTGAATCTAGTATCCTGTTGAATATAAACTACCTCATCACACTGGTGGGAAATGCTTAGTTGAAGCCAGTGAGAGGTATATAAAATGCAATGGCACCTTTGATATGAACAGATGATATAACTCTAGTCATTTTGCATTTATGATCCTGGATTTGGAAAGCCAAAGGGAACTGCCTTCTAGGGCCTGAAGGAAGTGTTTGTTGTGAACACAGAGCAAGTGTTATCCTCTGTGGATCATATATAAGTTTAATTCTAGACACTGGGGAAATGTTATTGTAAAGTCAAATTTAACAGGTTTGATAGGAAAATTACATCAGAGATCAATGTGTATTTTTACATGTTTATTTTTCTCCAGATTTTTTCCAAGTAGTTTCATTCCCCTCTGATGAACTCTTTTCCCAATTACTTAAACAGAATTTATTAGTCTGAAGTTTGATGAAGCATGTTTGAGGAATGATAAAGATGTTGTTAGTTACTGGCTGCCTCTTAGTCCTGAAAACCCTCTATAGAGGAGAGTGCGTTTGCTGGATGCAGGTACTATTATGGTTTTGCATAGCTGGTACAAGGAAGGTCTTCTGTCTGCAAAATGTACAGGTACAGCAGTAAAGAGAACGGGGTCATGTTTCTAACTAGGTAGAGCCTGGAGAGAAAAAAACACACAAGATTCCTCAAGGCAAGCACTGCGTCTTCAGTCCGGCATTGTCACCCATCAGAACATGCCTAGTCTTGAGAGCATATTCTTCAGATATCTGTATCTGAGCACATTTGATGGACTAGTGGGCAAGGTGCCAGAAGCCAACTTTCAAGGGGATTTTATGGTTTTGACTTTTTGGTTTTTGCCCAGAGAATTCTGGGAAATAAGTGGAATAGGAAGATCAGATAATATTTACCTAAGATCCTGGACCCCAGCCTCGTCCACTCATGTATCTGAGCCCTGATAAGAGAAGCTTAAAGTCCTCATTTCTTAAGGTACTCAGTAAGGGGATGGAACCCAGGTGAGAAGAAGGTTCAGTGTATGGGGGAGATGGCCTCATATCCATTTCTATGAGTGGCTTTGACGTGGCAAGGACAACAGTGCCAGAATGGCTCAGCAGGGCACTGGGGACCACACCTAAATCAGAGGCACCCTGATCACGGTATGCTGGCCCTGTTAGCAACGGGGGTCACGAGGCGTTGTTCTTTCATAGCCAGCAATCATCAAGCATAAATCAGCAGATTGCCATGAGTTCAGGAGACAGAATTTCCAAGGCAGGGAGAATATCATAAGCACAGATAAAGAGGCATGAAATTATATGATATATTTGTGAAAAAGTAACTATTCCACGACTGTTTAAACATCAAGTTTGTAGGGAAGAGAAGTGATGAGAACTAAATTTGGAAATGGAGTTTGAGGACTGTATCAGTTGTTTTCCTGGTTGTAAGCAAGAGACATTATGACTAGCTGACTGATGCCCCAAAAGGACACATAGGATTAAACAGATTTGAAATAGGCAGCAGAATCTCCTAAAGACCTAGAAAAATGAGGCACAGAAAATAGACAAGAAAAAATGGATGCTAAGCAGCAGCCCCCACACACACCGCCAATTATCCCAAAAGTCATCCCCCAAATTAGTCCTAAGATGACACCACTGTCCCCATAGCTTCTCCCACAGACTCTACGAATGCTGGACCCTGGAGGCTGGATCCCATTAGATGCCTTACCATTGCTGCTCCAAAAAACCGCTGTTGCAGCTGCTGACCCATGATGAGTGTGGAACCTTCAGTGCCGCTCCAAGTCACTCACTTCCAGTTCAGAGTCAGGGATGGGTATATCTGAGGGGCAAGGTCAGTTTACATGCCTGATACAAGAGAGACTGGTACTTTGGGAATCATCTTCAAACAAGACTCAGATGGCGAATAATTTCCTAAATGTTATAAAACATTGGCAATTAATTATTTAGGCAATGGAGGATACTGCTGCTGATGACAAAAATGATGAGGGGAATAATAATAATTGGGATCATTACCATTTAATTAATACCTATATTATGCTTACCCTTACAACTTGATAAAGGACATTATTATTCTCATTTTACAGATAATATTCTTAGAGAAGTCAATCATGTAAGGTACTCAAAGGGGGAGTGGAGTGGCCTGATAAATATGCTTTAAAAATATAGGATTACTAAAAAAAATTAAAAAATTAAAAATATAGGATTATGAGGGTAGAAATTATATTAATAGTCAGAGAGCCCTATCAGAGGATGAGAGCCTAAACAGAGGCAAGGAGGAAGGATTAGAGCAGTTGTTCTGGAACTTCAGTGCCAGGTGCGTATCAGCATCACTGAGAGGGCTTGTGAAACCACAGGTTGCTGGGCTCTATCCCCAGAGCTCCTTGATTCAGCAGGTCTGGCTGGGATCCATGAATTTGCAGCACTTATCAGTTCTAAGTTGATGATGCTGTTGCTGGTTCAAGGGTCATATTTTAAATTGAATGGACTAAGTGGATCTAAATTAAATGGATTAAAGAACTGTTTCCCAAACCTCAGCGGTATATGGACCACTTTTAGTGAAATACATTATTGAGACCTCCCCTCTGTTTTTACTACAATAACACTTAAAAATATACAGATATAAAGTTAGGTATAAACTCATTACATATATAGCTCACATACAACAGTAAAACCTAAACCACATTTAAATTAAATACAAGCAAAAGTATGAAATTAATAAAATTTAAATTAACATTAACTTTAAAGTGACATATATTGTTCTTCTGAAATTAAAGGACTATTGTTGCATTTAAGAAGAAAAAACAAATAACCTCAAAACAAATCTTGCTTTTAATCTGTTTTTGTAATACTTGTGTAAGGAATGGCTATTTGCATAAGTATATTCTACAAAATGGTATTAATAACATCCAGACTCTGTTTCCAACCTTATACTTAATCACAGTAAGCACTATCACGGTGGCAGTTTTAGAATGATGTTTCCTAGCAGCTAGTTTCTTGTGCATTCTACGAGAATTGTAGCATTACTGAAATCTGGATTAAATGGTTACCTAGTGCATCTAACACTGAACCTGGGGACCTGAAAATTTCTCATTACATATTTACTACTATACTTTTGCTGCTAGTGATCTGTTTCAAGTTGATATGTGCCATGGCCTGATCCATTACAAATCTTGAATTCACAATACAGACAAGGAATAAATGGCAAGACACACGTGTTATCAGCCCTTTTAATTCAGCATTTCTTACCACCATGTGTTGTATGATGATTTGATTCTACTTTTGCAATTCTTTTTTCAAATTAATGCAAAACTTTTATCATATATTATATAGCATCTGACTTCATTTGAATTCTGCAGAAGCAATCCCTAAGACAAGGAACCTAATCAATGGAATGCATTAGGAAGCACTCTCAGGAAAGACTAGTAGGGGAATGAGAAATAAGAGTGGCATAGAAGGAAGCCAGGTGAGGGCCTGATGCCAGGGAAAGTCCTTGCAGAGGGTAACTTTCATTTAATCCTGCAAGGGAAATCCAGAAACAAGTAGGTCACACCCAGAGTTCTGACTAGGGAGAGGGGAACTAAATATTTATTCTCATGCACTCAGTACACCCATCACTCACTGGATAAAAGATGTCCCAAGAGAGTCATAAATTACCAAGCACTTCAGGAAAGCGGGCTCTGGCAACCTGAGGGCAACCCTCAGACAGATAGACAAGTGCTGACTGTGGGATGTAAAATCAGGCTATGAATCAGTGCATGAAAATGATGATCGTATTGACAGGATATGGATGGAGCCCTGAGAGACTGTCCCCAGAGCCTGAAATAGGCATGCCTTGCTTATTCATTTTCTTCAGGTCCCTGCTAAATGTCACCTTCCCAGTGAGTGCTTCCCCATCAACCCTATTAAAACAGCATCTCCTCCATAATTCTCTGTCACCTTACATTGGTATTTTTGCATTTTCCCACTTATCAGCAAATTATATATGTACTGTTTATATTAATACATGTATGTGTTTTATGCATGTACCCTCACACTAGAATTTAAGTTGCATAAAGACAAGGACTTCTTGTTTATTGCTACATGCCCAGCAGTAAGAACAGCTTCCAGACACATAGTAGACACTCAATAAATATTTACCGAATAAGTACATGAATAAATTAATTAAGCTGGAGAGTTAGGCAAGACCAGCTTGGCCTGTGGTCCAAGAAAGGTTATTCTTAAAACAAATCAATTGTAAGCAGGCAGGCTGATGTGATCAGATTCATCTCTTAAAAACTCGTACTGATTGGAGGAGAAAATATGAGATGCAGAGCAATAGACAAGTGCTCGGACTTGGTGCACTGGGAAGACCCAGAGGGATAGGGCGGAGAGAGAGGTGGGAGGGGGGACCGGGATGGGGAATACATGTAAATCCATGGCTGATTCATGTCAATGTATGACAAAAACCACTGCAATGATGTAAAGTAATTAGCCTCCAACTAATAAAAATAAATGAAAAAAAAAAAAAAGGTGATGGTGATAATCATGGAGAAAGATGATACTGGCTTGGACTTGAATCACAACAGTGGAGATAAAGAGATGTAAACATACTTGAGAATTACTTAAGAGGTGAAATCAGCTGTGAATATTAGATATTGATGGATAAGGAAAAGGAGTATCATGGATATTACCACAGAACAAGATAGATAGGAAACACTGGTAATAATCATATTTTACATAGATAATGATGAGACTATTCCGGACATGTTTTAAATCGAGGCATCAAGGAGGCATATGGACATTAATGTCTGCAGCTCAGAGGAGAAATCTGAGCTTGTGATGGAAGTTTATAAGCCACCTAGCTATAGATTGTTATTAAAACCTTGGACATAGATGGAATTGCTTAGGAAAAGAATAACTTATAATAACAACTTATGATCGGTTAAGGACACTATTAAAAGAATTTAAAAAAACAGGTCACAGAAGTGGAGAAAACATTTGCAAATTACATATCAGACAAAAGACATATCAAGAATAGTTAAAGAACTCTCAAAACTCAAAAATAAAACATTCAATTTGTTCAATGGTCAAAAGATTTGAAGAGACACTTCACCAAAAATTTTTTCATATGGCAAATAAGCATACTAAAAGATGTTTAACATCACTAGTCATTATGGGAGTTCAAATTAGATCCACAATGAAATACCATATTTATTATAAGATTAAAATTTTTTAAATATTCATAATATCAAATGATGGCAAGAATGCAGACCAATAGGAATTCTCATACTTTGCTGCTGGGAATGTGAAATCTTTCAGTCAACCGTAGAGAACAATTTGGTTATTTCTTATGAAGTTAAATACACATTTTATGTGACCCAGTAACTCCACCTCCAGATATTCATTCTAGAGAAACAAAACTTGCATTCACTGAAAAACCTAAACAAAAAAATATATGTAGCATCATTATTCAGAAATGCCAAAAACTGGAAACAATCCAAATGTTTTTCAGTTGGTAAGTGGATAAACCAACATTCACACATGGACTACTATTCAGCTACTTTTGCATTGATTAAAATGGTTCTTATTAGCTTCTGGTTAGCAGGGACTCAAAGTACCTGACAAAATGCAGTTGTTCTGACACCCTCCAATCATCCATGAAAATAACCTTCCACCATCCGAGAAGATGCCTTTAAAGTTTTGGGCATCTTTTGCTTTTTTTTTTTTTGCTTATTATTGTTGTTGTTTTTGTTCTCCATTTAAGTCCAAGAAAATCATGTGACCACAAACAACTCAATTATCTCAAAATACATGCACTGGGGTCAACACCTGTAAAGTGTTAGAACAAAACAAGTTTCAGTTCAGTTTAGTCACTCAGTTGTGTCCGACTCTTTGCGACCCCATGAATTGCAGCACACCAGGCCTCCTTGTCCATCACCAAATCCCGGAGTTCACCCAAACTCATGTCCATTGAGTTGATGATGCCATCCAACCATCTTATCCTCTGTTGTCCTCTTCTCCTCCTGCCCTCAATCTTTCCCAGCATCAGGGTCTTTTCCAATGAGTCAGTGCTTAGCATCAGGTGGCCAAAGTATTGGAGTGTCAGCTTCAACATAAGTCCTTCCAATGAACACCCAGGACTGATCTCCTTTAGGATGGACTGGTTGGATCTCCTTGCAGTCCAAGGAACTCTCAAGAGTCTTCTCCAACACCAAGTTTAATCAGAATATAAAATAAGGCCAGTGTGTATAACACTAGTATATATAACTAGTGAAACCAGTCCGACTAATTGACCAGTCCCCACAGCCTGTATCTGGATATATCAATTGGTCTCTTCTGATGCTGCAGTTTCTCCTTGTTCTTCTCTGCTCCTGTCACACCCTATCATTTTTCTTTCATCTCTTGGCTATGTTGCATGATCCTGCTGCATAGATGCTCAGTTTGCTCTGGCCTCTCAGGATAAACCTGCTTCTCCACACTGCAGCCACCTAACCTGCTCCAGTCCTGCCTTGGACTTGGCACCAGTTCAGCCCTTTGTAACTTGACAAGCACTGCCTGTTGGCCTTGAACTCTGTAGAAAAGAATCAGACCAGACCCACCCAGAGAGAGTGGCCTTGGAATATGACTAAGAAAGAAAACTGGATTTCCCAAGGACAAGAATAAATTCATTCTAAGAAATTAAGAGAGCTTATGCAGATATTCCATGATAAAAGTGAGAGGCGAGAGGAAAATCTGTGTAGTCTAAATAGCAAAGCACAGCATCAGTGTTTGGGGGCACTGCTGCACCAGAAGGAAAACTGAATGTTCAGAGCTGCATGCTCCAGCCTCAGCTTCAGTCAGCATATCTAATAATGTTTCAAAGTTCAGCCTTCCTGTGCAGAGACATCAGTTAAATAATGAACTTTCAATACCAGCACAGAATGTCATCAGGCGAACAGACACTTCTGCCATTTTCTCCTGTACGTGCTAAATAAATCCATTTGGTATTGATCTCCACAGCTAAGTTTGCAGCCTTAATGCAATTCTTACCGTCAAAGCAGAGTAAACAGATAGTTCCTGGAAGAAGCTAAACATGTTATCTTTTACTCATCAGATGAGGCCTCTATAGATTACGAGGCAACCTGATCCCTTGGGTGTCTCATTACAAAAGTTCCCAGGGTGGAGGGTCACCTTGTCCAGCTGGAGCTATTAATACAGGGTCTGAATAGCAATGGCAGTATAAGAAACTAAGAAAATAAAGGTTTCTCAGAATACAGTCTTAGGTTCTGCAGACTTCTGATTCATGATCACTGCTGCTACACAAAGATAACAAGAAGGGAACCCCCCCTCAGAGTTCTGGCATTTAACCCCGGTGATCTGGCTCGACGATATTCTATGTGACAACACCCCCTTGTGGACACATTGTGGCCAATCCAATGGCTGGAGTTATGGTTTGGGGATAAGTTCCATGTACTATAACTGCCAGCTTTACTTGTCTCCAGGTCATTTCAAACACTGTCCCCTGCACCAGGAACACTCCTGGGTTCTATGCCCTGCTCCCTTCGACTTGAGAAGGAAGGGTCTGTTTCTAGCTTCATGCTTAGAGCAATAGTTGTCAAATGGTGTAACAGCACCAAGATCACCTAGGGACTTGCTAGAAATGCAAACTCATGGACCACAAACCAGACCCATTGAATCAGAAAATCAGTAAGGTATACCCCCAGATATTTGTGTTTTAGTAAACCATCCAGGTGATTCTGATTAACTGTAAAGTTTGAGAACCACTGCTTTTAGGGCCCTAGTCTGCTCCGCTCCTAGCAGTGGCCCTTTCCATGAACAGGAATCCTAGAGTCATGCCTTCTCCTTGAAGACCTCACTCCTGGGACCTGGGATCCCAGAATTCCTGCCCAAGTGGCCTCAAGCTTGCTTCCGGTGTCTGTCTTCTCTGATTCTGTCCCAAGCGTTGGGCTGGTCACAGGCCTGTGCATCTCCAAGTCTGGGAGTTGGTCAGGAGGGAGTTGGGCAAGGGGGGATCATGTGGAGGTATCATGGATGGAGTTATCCATGGAGTTATCCACACAAGGCCCCTCATGGTGCTGAAGGTTCTGTGGATGGGAAGCAAAAGAAGTCTGTCTGTGACCAAGGAGGGGCCAGGGGTCAGCTGCCCTGTGTACCCCATTTCAACACAAACCTCAGAGTCTGAGAATTAGGATTTTGGACTCAGCCTTCAGGTTGTTAGGAAGGTACATTTTTCAATGAAGGGAAGATAAAACTTAGTTGATTACCTAGTGTGTTAGTTTGATTTAAACATTCACATATTCAGACCTATGACACACAAACTTCTATTTGTATGCCTTCTCAGTTCCAGAAAAAGATGAAGTTTTATCTGCTTAATTTTGCAGACTCAGCCCCAAAATATCTTTTCTTGACGATTTCCCTGATCCCCTAATTCATGCTCTTATTAGAGGCTGCTGACTTGTGCCTTCATAGTTCCCTGTAATTCCTTGCCTTATACCTCATGAACTGTACTATCAGCTCTTGTTTAATAATACGCTTTCCCCATTAATAAACTCTGAGATCCAAGAGGGTTTGTGTATATAAACTAGTGTATAGCATAGTGCCTGGCTTACAATTTGCCCAAAAAATAAATAATGAAGGAGTTAATCATAATAATAAATAGCAAACTTATATAGCCCTCATTATGTGACAGTATTCTAAGCAATTTTTATATATTAATTCATTTAATCCTCGCAATAACCCTATGAGACAGGTAATACCATTATCATCGCTTTAAAAATAAAGCAATAAGTCCAGGGAGACTAAGAAACTTCCCATGGTCACACAGGAGCAAAATCAAGATTCAGATCTGCAGACTGAGTTTTCTAAACTCCACGTGAGTGAATGAATGGAAGAGGAGCCAAAAGATACTATAAGGAGTATTTCAAGTAATACTGAGTGTTTAAAAACAGACAAGCCAGGAAAGTTCCTGGTAGCCTAGTGGGTTAGACCTCATGCTTTCACTGCAGTGCCCCAGATTCAATCCCTGGTCAGGCAACTGAGACCCTCTAAGTTACATGGCCGGGAAAAAAAAAAAAGGCAAGCCAAATTTATCATCAAAAACAGGAAACAAACTCAAAATATTAAAAGTTACAAATAGAGTGATCCAGGGATAAGCTGAGAGGCCAAGACTAGATAAAGTCTTAAAGCCTGGTGTTCTTTTTCATTGACTTCCAGTCACATGGCTAAAGATCAACCGGGTTTAGGAACAGAATTAGGACAAGCTGTTTAAATATTCCAAGTTGCCTGTGGGCTGACATCTAAATTTTTAATGGAGTTCTACAACCTCCTGATGCTGGGGAATGTCAACTTTAATTTCATATTCATACTCTAGGGATGGAGGCTATTTGGTAACAAAATGATCTCTGGTTAATATACTATCATAACCAAAGCACCAATAGAAACCATGATGAGATATGGAGTAGGAAAGTACCCAACATAGCAGAAAGCAGAACACAGCTCTCCTGTTCAGATCAGGGAACTCTACTCAACATCCTGTAATAACTTACATGAGAAAAAGATCTGAAAAAAATAGATGTATGTATGTATTGATACAACTGAATCACTTTGCTATATCCCCGAAACTAACACAGCATTGTAAATCAACTACATTCCAATATCCAAGAAAACTAAAAACAAAACAGCACAGCTTGCCTCTTGCACACAGTGGCGTAGTGCAATCTGACTTTTCTAAACAAGGCCATTTCTTATGCCCCTAGCAGCTATGGACTCTTAAGAGACCCAAGGTGTCTGGGACACCATATCTCATAGTGATGGAACGGCAGACAGCAGAGTCACACTGATGAAGTTACAATCCTGACTCGACAGCTACCCAGTGGCTGTAGGCACATGAGCTAAAGATTCTGAGCTTCAGTTTGCACATTTTATTACAGTGTGGATAATATCTACTCTTGAGTGGAGTTGTTATGAAGATACAATTGGAAGATTCATGCATTCAGCAAATATCAAATGATGGTCAACTATATTCTCACTATTCTTCTAATCTGTGAATAGTGGCTCAACAAAGAAGATATGCCTTATGTCTGCCGGGTCTGGTTCACCAAAAGCAACCATTAATTCTGACACAAAAGAGACCTCCTCAAGAGATTTATCCCTCCCTTCTCTGACTATCCCACATCACATTATAAGGAAGCGCAACATGAAACAGAGGGATGAGGGGAATCACTATGTGCCTGGGTAAGAGCAAGAAAGGTCCTCCAGAAGAGCCTAAGGCAGTGAAACCTCGAAGAGCCAAGATCACTGTTAAGAGGGCCAAGGCCTCACTTATGCAACAGGCCTGCATCAGGCCCAAGGGGACGGTGAGAGTGGGAATGAGGGTGCTGGGCTGCATCCCACAGGCCTACACGCTGTGTGCTTGCCCAGCCCTGCATGCACCCAGCTTTAAGAGCAAGGACAGAGCCTGAAGTGAGAACAGAGACTTCAGCAGTTTAATGGATATGGGACCTCATACCTCTGAAGCAAGGTCCTGGAGCGACACCACCCCCCTGGGTGAGGCAGAGAGATGTCAGTGGGCCGGACAAAGCAGCAGTCTTCCCTGGGGGTGAGTTTGGGGGTTGCCAGTCATAGGGGAATCACATCTGGTTGGCTCATTAGTTACCAGGGAAACCAGGAGAGGGACATGCCCTTCACCACCCCAGGTAGAACAATCGCTAGCTGCAGTCTGGGGCAAGTATGAAGGAAGGTCTGTCTGTGAGCGGGGTGTAGGTGAAGCAGGAACTGGTCCAGAAGAGGGTGTACAAACAGCAATAGAATATCCGTTGCCAGTGGCCTGACCATACAGAGGGTAAAGAGGCTGACAACTGGCAAAGCCAGGCCAATGATTGGGAGCTAAGGCTACTGACACTTTTATTATGCTCAGCAGTGAGGAATGTAGGTTAAGGGAAAACACATACAATAATCTAAACACCTTGAAATCAGAGACCTTGTAAATACAAAAGGTATCATTAAAATAATAACAGTAATAGTAACAATATTATCAGCAACTGCCTTTCATTGAGTGTTTATAATGTGCTGTAAGAAGCACTTCACAAATTGTATCTGATCTTTACCAGGATCAATTGCTAAACTTTAATATTCACATTTATTTATTTCAATACCAAAGGAGATAATGAGGCTCACACGTTTGAGGTGACTCACACAAAATCACTGAGCTAGTGAGTAGTGAAGATGAGATTTAAACTCAGGTCTATGGTCCACACAGTACCACCTCTCCAAGGAGCTCAGGTGATCCAGTGTCGGTTAATAACCAACTGAATCTCTGGATTTTAGTTTGCATGCGTGCGTGTGCTAAGTCACCTTAGTCATGTTCAGCTCTTTGCTTCCCTGTAGACTGTAACCCACCAGGTTCCTCTGTGCACGGGATTCTCCAGACAAGAATCCTGGAGTGGGTTGCTATACTTTCCTCCAGGGGATCTTCCTGACCCAGGGATCGAACCCGCGTCTCTTATGTCTCCTGCATTGGCAGGCAGGTTCTTTACCACTAGTACCACCTGGGGAATCTTAGTTTATTCACGTGTAAATGGATCTAGATTGGCTCTACCTCATGAACTCACCCTCAATATTCAAGGAGCTAATTCATATACAGCACTTATCACAGTGACACATAATAAGTACAACAAATAATACATATTACTATGATTAGGCATATCATCCTGGCTTCCAAATGTCTGCTCTTGAAATGAATATATACATCTTTGTCAAAAAATATTGATACTAGATTGATTAAGATAATAAAAACATAATAAAAAGTAATTACAACTGGATGATAGTGGTAGAAACTCTCACATACTATGTTTTCAACTTGAAGAGAATTAAGTAAATTAAGTTTAGTTATGTAAGAAACTGCTGCTCAAAACCACATATTTAAATGAATCAGTTTTATACCTCTATCTATGAATTAGCTTCTTCATAAACATAAAAACCCATTCAAAGTTGTCCAGTGCTTTATACTTTTAGAACGTTGTTCACAGGCATCATCTTATTTGATCCTGCCCAACACCCTGGGGGTATTACATGATTTCATTTTTCACAAAGGAATCTGAGTCCCAAAAGAGAAGAAGCTTGCTGCGGCTATCACATCAAAATAGGTGATCTGAGATTAATTCCCAATCTCCCAATTCCTCTTCTACTCCTTAAACCAAACTACAGGTCTGAAATTGAAAATGGCATTGCAGTCCTAGTTGCAATCAATAAAGCCAAGATGTCACAATGGAACTCTTGTTTGGGAGGAAGATTAAAGGTGATTAATGTTATCCGGATCAACTCAGTTACAAATGTTTAAATATGCTAAGAATACCCTTATCCCTGACTTGGGTTTGCACTTCTCATGGAGGTGGTTGTCCAGACCACTCAAGGTAGAGCCAAGAAGAATAGAATGGAAGAGAAAAGACATAATGATTCTGGACCCAATAATACATGTCACAGTCAAGGAGAGTTACCTTTCCCGTGAAAGACAAATTAATTCTTGCTTTTTAAAACAACAGTGACATCCCCTACCAGTTTCCATCTATTTTTACAGAGCACTTATCAGTTGTAAACACAAAGGCACTGAGCTTGGTTGAACTAAAATTAAAGCTTGCATTGATGAAAGCTCCCTCAAGGCACTCAGTAGGATGAAAGTAATGAAATCATGAAAAAGCAGATAATTAATAAGAGTTCATGCTTTTAATATTTGGAGAAAAGTTCTACTTAAATTCAGAAAAATAATTATTTGCTAAGGAATATGTTGACCTCAATTATTATATTACAATTGTGTCAGCGTGGTTATTCATTGGGAGCACAATGACCAAAACAGAGAAAAGTTCAACTGAAAAATTATTCTTTTTAAGAATTCAATTCAACTGAAATAATTTCTTCAGATTGTTATTTTCTTAGCAGTAACAAAAGTTTGACAATTCTAAATCTAAACAATTTCCATTTTCCCACATTGTCTTTTAGTCCTTAGTACACATAATTTGTGCACTGTGAAATTTCAGTTTCTGCTTTTTTAACTTATCACAAAATTACAAGGGTTTTCACACATGCTGCTTTCTCTGTATAGAACATCTCATCCTCAGGGTCCATCCGTCACGGCTCTCTTGTTCCTTCAAGGAAAGAATTATCTTAGGACTTCCCTGGTAGTCAAGTGGTTAAGGCTTCGCCTTCCAATGCAGATGTGGGTTCAATCCCTGGTCAGAGAGCTAAGATCCCACATGCCTTAGGGTCAAAAAACTAAAACATAAAACAGAAGCAATATTGCAATAAATTCAATGAAGACTTTGAAAAATAGTGCACTTCAAAAAATCTTTAAAAAAAGAAAAGAAAGATAGAAACTGTCTTGGTGATGTTTTTTTTTTGAATCCCCTTAAAAAATTATTCAATTCTTCTTTGGGATTTTTATATTTTGCATATATATTCCAAGATATCTCAGTTGTGTAGCAGTTGTCTCATACAGTGGAATTATAAACAGATTTCCAACTTGGACACGTGGTAAAATCTGAAATGACTGCTTTTTTTTTTTTCAAGCAGTTTGGCCAGTCATAAAGCTGATTTGCAGACTCTGTTGGAAGATTTCTCCCACTCCTTTTTCCAGTGCTGACACATTCCAGGACTTGACTTCCTTCAAATGATGACTCTTGATCACCATTATTTTTATTATATGACTCACATGTGTGCTTGTTGTCCTAAACCATAGGGAATGTTTGCATGTATGGCCAGAACTTAAGAGTCAGAGAGGGAAGAAGGTCTGGACTCCTCTCTTCAAACTGGAAGACTATCCCGAATAGGGCCACTTACACTACATTCTCAGTGAAAATTTTTTGAATGCATGGACAAATAAACTCCTAGGTATTTAAACATGAGTCAGATGTGACCATGATAGCAAAAATTGGTAAACTGCTGGCAGTTTAATCTCACCCACATTAAGATCCATCTCCATTAGCTTAGATAATGGACAGTTTGCTAACTATGTGTGCTAGCACATACTTCTTTCCAGAAAATAATTCCTTATACCCAAAAAATTACTGATATCATTTCTTCCAGCTGGCTCAGGACAGTCCTAGTTTGCTCCTATTGCATCACCACTCTACCCCATCTGGATTTTCTATTTATTTATGAGGTGGTATTACTAGTGATTGCATTAAAACAAGGCTAGCTGGGATTGGCTGGCTGCAGTCTGTATTCCAGCATCTGCCATCATCTCATCTGATAGGCTAGAAACAGATTTCCAACCTGGATACATGGTAAAATCTGACTTGACTAACCGTAACCCATGTTTCTTTTCCTGGCCCTTTTCAGGCATAATATAACTAATACTTTACTTTTAAGCACATTGCTCAGGATGTTCAGGATTTAAACAAAACGTTCTCAGGTACTAGCAACTGAAGACTGCTAAGATGCTGGTGAAAAATGTATTCAAAACCGCTGTCTCCGCCATCAGCTGGTGAACCAGCCGGTTATGTCATGGCCTGGGCCACAGTGTATAAATCCCTCCAGACAGCTGGGTCATTGAGAAACATGGGAAATCATATATTACAAAATGATGAGTTGTAAGATGTAAGATATTTTGCAGGAAATGGAAGCTGAGCACCCCTGATATAAGCACATAGATAAGATTTGACACACTTCTGTTACAGTGACTTTGTCATTTGTTATATAGTGTCATTCTAGAATGTTTACTAATCTTATATTTTTGTTTTTTCTTTTGATTTTTCAATTTACATTGGCAGCAATAAACTAAAAATGCACATTTATTTTTAATTACTAAATGAATTCAGGAGTTTGGCCTATATCACAACCTGTTTCATAAATTGGTGAACATACAACTTGCACCATTTTTTGATATATATCCAAGTAAACGGAGAGGCATGCAGTGAGACCACCAACCAAAGAGAAACAGGAACACAAATCTGTGCAAAACAGCAGTATCTATCTCAAAAGCTTGTAGTTACTTTAAGACTATATCCTAGGCAATTATTTAGCATATGTCTGTTACTCCAGCTATCTCTTAACTTCCTACTTTTGCATTCCAGTCCCCTATGATGAAAAGGACATCTTTTTTTAGGTGTTAGTTCTAGAAGGTCTTGTAGGTCTTTACAGAACCATTCAACTTCAGCTTCTTCAGTATTACTGGTTGGGCATAGACTTGGATTACTGTAATATTGAATGGTTTGCCTTGGAAATGAACAGAGATCATTCTGTCACTTTTGAGACTGTACCTGAGTACGGCATCTTAAACTCTTTGGTTGACCGTGAGGGATACCCCATTTCTTCTAAGGGATTCTTGCCCACAGTAGTAGATGTAATGGTCATCTGAATTAAAATCACCCATTCTGGCCCATTTTATTCACTGATTCCTAAAATATCGATGTTCACTCTTGCCATCTCCTGTTTGACCACTCCCAATTTGCCTTGATTCATGGACCTAACATTGCAGGTTCCTATTCAATATTTTTCTTTACAGCATCAGACTTTACTTCCATCACCAGTTATATCCACAACTGGGTGGTATGTCCAGAATTATGTATAAATTCTGCTCAAGCTTTTTTGTCTATTT